AAAAAAAAATTCTCCACAATCCACAGCCTATTGTCTTATCCATTTCACAAGCAATACTTTAGCACCGTAACGAACCACTCCTAAAACTTCTTTTTTAATGGGGGTGGGGTGGGGGATGACTTTGTATTACATTTAAACGTTGTCATTACAGTCATATCATCATCAATGTACAAACAAGAGACATAAGCAAACCTATCAACACTGACTTTTTTGCTAAACATAAAGTTATACATAAAAATTTTAAAGCACCTAGTCTTCATCATAGCTGTGTAAAACATGGTCCTACTGTTTGGTGCTAAAAAGCAGCTTGGAGAGACCCACTCTCATCCATTGTTCATACATCAGTAAATGAGAAACCACAGTCACTTCGGCCCAAGGCAGGCACAGCCCTGGACAATGGAGCACGTGGGTGCAGACAATTGCACTGGGAGTGCTGCGGAAGTGGATAAGCCACTTTGCCTTGCTTGATGGCACCATATAAAGATGGCTGTTGGCTATCCCATATAGATTTCTGCATGCGAGTATGCACTGGGTCTTTTCTCTCCTCCCTCTTCTTAGGGGGAAGAATAAGAACTTCTCTGCACTTAAGAAGTGTGTAATCTCATTTCTCACCAAAGAGTGAGTTTTCAAGATGAACTCTGTGAGCAGGGAGCAGGTTTCGAGTGCACGGCCATTCTCTAATGCTGTGGCTTGAGGCCAAAGGCAGGCAAGCATGGAGCAGATGGAGTCCTGGCAAGGTCTCCACTGTCCCTGCATTAGCAGCATCTGCTCATTACTCAGAACCTTCGCCTGCTTTATCTAAAGCTCCAGGAAAAGCATTTTGATTTGATTCATTTCGGTACGGTAACGTGCAACACAATTAGTGGTAAAATCAAACTGGAGGATGGCCAGTGCTGACAATCGGAAACAAGGCAGAAGAAATATGAGGCCAGTGGGTTGGAATTCAAAAAATCACAACTGTGGATCACCTTGCCAAATCTCGGCACCCCAGGTGGGTGTACAGTGTTCCTTAAGGGCAAGGAGGCTAGAAAGGATAAAAGGATGACTTACTTTCTCCCAAAGCAGTTTCCCCCAATCCAAGCCTCTGATCTGACGCCTTCTGTGGAGAATGCATGTGGAGACCATCAAGGGGGTCTCAATGGTTACAGAGCTTCCCTTTGGCACAACCAGGAGCTGAAGTTCATTAACTCATTTTATTGCCTAATTCTTCTCTTCTGTGGGGCACAGTCACAAATTTCATACAGCAGACCCTATAAGGTAAATTTCATTTTTGCCACATTGTGCCTAAGAAGTGCCTGTTCACTACTTTTGGGAAGGAGCAATATAAAATGTGCCTTTGATTATTTCAATCTGTCTTTGACTGGAAGTAGCCACTCGTGAATATGTTGGTATAAGTATCACAGTGCCAATCTGTTAAATTGAAGGGAGACCAAAGACAATGCCACCTGAGGTCTGGGGGAAAATGAGAAGTTGCTTATCTCAGAAATAGGAACTACCCTCATCAGACCGGCAAAATAAGCTCAGAGAGAGGAGCAAAGCACAGGAGCTCTTATCAAAGAAATAATCCTAATGCCAAAATGAACTTGAGACAAATCAAAGATTTCACTGTAAATGATGTAGCCATGGAACTACTATAGATTTAACCTAATCTTAGAGTAAAGGAACTCCCCCAGAGCATGATGTGGAGCCCGAAGTACGAGACAATGATATAAACAACTAGACAGATCAACTGGAACAGAACATCCAGAAACAGAACCAAATACTAAAAGAATTTCCTATCTAAAAATTTACAAAGGCAATTTATAATTTACAAATCAATGAGGCAGAAATGGACTTTCTGGTGAGAGAGGCTGTAAAAAAGATATACTTGGATTCCTACCTTATCCTAGCTCAGGATGAACAATGTATTGATTCAGATTCAAATGTAAAACATAAGCCACAGGAGTAACAGAATTGTAAGTAGCAGGCATGTATATGAAAAAATTCAACTTCTCTCACACTAAGAGAAATGTATGCTGAAACATTTGGATACTGTTTCTTATCTGTCAAGTTGACAAATATTTAAAGGTCTGAAACATACTTTGCTAATAAAACTGTGAGGAATAGGGCTTTATACTTTGTTAGTAAAAGTACAAAATAGTATAGCCCCATTTGCATTTACCCTTTAACCCAGAAATTTTATAGCAAACTGCCCTTCCTGCACTCACATGAAATGTCATATGTATGAAGTTTTTCACTACAACATTGCAATGAGGGACTAGGTGAGTAAGCTAAGCAACTTATACACAACAGAATACTATGCAGATATGAAAAAGGAGGATGTTTTCTGTATTCTGATATGGACACCCTTTCAAGATATGTGAAAAAAGACAAGGTGAGAAATAATATGAAGTAGTTGTGTTATTTTTTTGTTTATAAAATGAGGGGATAAGAATAGATATTCATATTTGCTTGTATTTGTAATACAGAAATACTAGAAGGATATACAGGAAAATAGAGGGTTGCTTTAGAAGGGAATGGACAAAAATGAGTAGAAGAAAGACTTCTCAATGTATAAACTATTTTAGTTTGATCTTACATCCCTAGAAATGTACCACTTAGTCAAGAACATTAAATCACAAAATAAAACCCACTCACTTATTTAAAAAGATTAAAATTACATACATATATACACACAACGCCATCCAGAAAAACCATAAAGCCCATTGAAGAATAAATGACAAACTGAAAAGATACTTGAAATAGATATGATAAATAGATAAAGTTGTTTTCTTAGCCCTTTCTTTTCAATCAGAAAAGAGAACCCAGAGAAAAATGGGAAAAATAGGAACAAGCAACTTGCAGAGAAACAAACAATAGCACAATGAAAAGATGTTCATATATTCTTGTAAATAAAGGCAAACACAACAGCAGTGAAATGCCATTTCCACCTGTCAGACAAGCATGAGGAAGCAGCCATTCTCATATATTTTGCTGAAACTATAAAACTTTTCCACCCAAAAAGTGAAACTTTTTTGATGGACAATCTGATAATATTTATCAAAATGTAAAACATCCATACAGTAGCCTCCAAACTGGTAATTACCAATCATCTACCCCATGGATATACTTCCACAAGCAAATCACATTTGTTCAAGGATGCCTTTTGCAGTACCGTTTTTTTTAATAACAAAAATAAATAATCCAAATGTGCATCACTAAGGGACCTAATTAATAAACTGTAAGACATATGCAATACTGCAAGGCTGGAAAATGGGGCTCACCCGCAAGTGCAATAGGGAAAGATACCAAGATGACCAAGATGTGTCATTAGGTGAAAAAAGCTAGGTGCAGAAAAATACACTGAGTGGGAGCTACGTGTAAAGCGTGAGGGGGACTGGAGGTAAGGGAGCAGAGAACCTGTAAAAGGGAACCTTTTACCTTTTATACGTTTTCACTCTGTTTGAATTTTAACTGTGAATTTTTTTATTTGCCCAGTATTTACTGAAGAAAGTAGTTTGTCATACCTACATGGTTCTCCAGTACTTGCGGGCAGCAACAGGGATGAGGGTGACAAGGCAATTCTAACTGACAATACTGAATCAGCAGCACCCGTCACACCATCCCAGCTTACGAGATACGAGATGTGGGGTGGACATGTTTCTACAAGCATCGGTGTTCAGTATTACATAAGCAGCACTAGCACCACGGCAGGGCCTAGGAGACATCTTCAGAGTTCTGGGTTCACACTAACGTCCCAACCCCAAGCAACTCACTAAGCTGGCCTCACTGGATCTCAGTTTCCCCATGATTTTGAAGAAAACTGTGTGTGTGGCAGGGGGAGGCTATTAGTTGATTATAAAACTGTATTATTCTAACTTAAAACTACGTCAACATTTGCATAATTGTTTAAAAAAAAGTTCATTGATAATTTGGAAAATAGCAAAGATAGATGCTCAAGGTCCTCTTCTGTTATCTACCCAGGATCTTAACAAATATGAAATATTACATGCCACAGAGTTTAGTTGAATTTCTAGAGACTGAAAAGAAAATCCATCAATGGCATCTACTAGTGTCAGACCAAAAGAATAGAGTTCATGTTAAAAGTAATACAATGAAAATATATTCAAGATTTCAACCCTAATTTTTATGTTTTAAAACGGCACATAGATATAAAATTCCCTAATTGCCATTTTACTATAGTTGTCTCCCTTTGAGCCAAACGGTAATGTCAAGCTGACTCTGAAGATTGGAGTGCTATGACATGAACACTGACATTCTGGAATGTTTCGTGGTCCAGCATTCAGGCAAGTGGAGAACAAGGCTTTTGGAGATTCAAACTTAACAACATAATGGAAGTCAGAAACGCAAGAGGTAGGAGTACAGGATATCATGCCATGAAAATTACTGCTATTAGGTATAAACTATCAAGTGTTTTACTACTTAGGTAAAACTAATTTTAGACTATTCTTACTGAGTTCTACAAATTCAAAGTTGCCCATACGCAAAAAGAATGCTATCAGTCCCAGAGGGAGAACATATTATCATAAATTATCTTACATGATGTGTATGTGCCAGTAGAAGGTAGGCAATGACTTTTATTTTTCTATTTCCATATTTGTCAACAGATTACCTACATCTATCTATCCCCTTTCCACTGTTCCTTCTGAACTGAGCAGAGACTAAAGGAAAAGTAGGCCAACTATATCTAATATTTTACACCAAACAAGTTATTTGCTTAAGATGGCTTGCTAGCCTTGTGTCTGGCACTAAAACCCAGCCTGACAGTCCCAGTAGGAATTCAACACCAGTTTTAATGGGTGCTATGTTCCAGTGCCTACTAATGCATTGAGGGTTATTGGCCAACTTCTTCACATAAAGGCACGAGTGAGTGTGTGTGTGAACACGTGTGTGTGCCCACGTGTACGTATGGGGGGATTACAGAGGGGAGCCAGCCACAGCTGCTTAATTTTTGTAAAGCTTTTTTTTCCTTCATAGGGAGGAGGGTTGCGGTTACTTACCATCCTCAAAAGCCGCCACCGCCAGCGAGCTGTTTATCCTCACAAAGGAGACATATGGCTGCATTCCAGGCTCATCCTCCTCATACTCTGATTCCAGGAAGGGGGCTACATAGTCCCAGGTGCGGGTGTCCCACACTCTCACGTCCCCTGATGTGTATCTGGAAAAGAAGGACACACTTGGTTCCAAACAGGGATTGAAAAGCAGGGCCATGATGGAGAAAGGGAGATCCTTTAACCAGGGGAGTAACATTTCCCCAACACTGTGTGGATGCATAACTCCAACAGAAGAAAACGTCAACTAGACCACAGAGGTCTGTGAACACATTTCATGTTCTCAAGAGCACAATGGTGATAATCACAAACGAGAATACTGCAATAAAAAATTGGGTGTCCAGATCACCTTGTTTTTCCTTTGACACTATTATAATGAAGCTGCTATCTTACATTCTCCCAGTAAAGGAATCACTAGCAGAAATACATAGAAGCCACAGTATTTACACACAACACACACAAAGACAGAGAGAGAGAAATGCTAAGAACTAATGGTCTTATAGGCACAAGCTTTCAAATGCCTAATCCACGCATCAGATTTGACTGATTAAAATCCCCAAAGACCAATTTGCTGAAACAGTTAAATCTTGTCTTTAGCAGCCAAACAATGCTGCCTTCTCATCTTGCCAAAATGTATGACACTCCCCAGTTTTGCCCAATTAGAAAACAGGAACATTCACCCTCTCCTATCACTACTGCCACTCCAACAAACGGCACTCTCCACCAGAGCCAAGGCAGGGCAGGAACCTGCTTGGACGTGAGGCCCCGAGGCTAATGGGATGTCCAGATGAGGTGGGGTGCAGCCTGTCACTGAGGTATTTGCTCTAAGGTCCTTACATCTGCTACAGAGGGTTTGATTCAACAGGTACAGCAAATGTGGGGAGGCGTGCTAGGAATGTGTTAGGGGACTCATGTGGTATCCACCCAATGCAACGACAGGCAGACAACGTTAAGGGGGCTCACTGTCTTCCTGGGGCCCTAGCTATGGTTCCTTCTTTGATCCCATATTAAAAGTGTAGAGTCGGACAAGACAACGTGAGATTAATTTAACTACTGAAATCATGTGATATCTCTATGAAGCAGTTATAGATCAATTTTTCTCATGTGGGATTTCTTAATAAAGAAACTGAGAACTGATTCAGGAGTGATTTATTTACTAAATGTAGTAGTATTTCCCTCAAATTATTGATAAGTAGATACATTATGTAATTCAAAGGATCATTGTGTCATACAAACTGCCCCCCTTGGAGAATTCAGCTCTCTCCTGGCAGGCTGGCATCTGGCGGGTGTGCATGTGGTGTAAAGAACAAAACAGAAGACCTGTGCTTCCCAACACTGGACTGATGGAACTCTACCTGACCACTGATCCTCCACTAACTGGGAACTCCACAAGTGTCGTTAAGCATGCCGATGGACAAGGGTGGATACTGGTATGACCAGGGGCAAAGCACGGCCACTGGCTCCCAGGCCCCCCAGCCAGCGTTCCCGAGCCCCCTTCTCAATAATGAGCCCTATACAGACACACACACCTCACTGCACTGAACCTGCCAGGCTCACCTTGACCCCCTGAAAACAACTTGAGCATTCCCGGGAGTGAGGCTGCTTGCTTGGCTGCAGACACTGAGCAGAGATAATGTGTCAGAATTTCTAGGCTTTGTCTCATTAGATTCCCAAGGTTAAATTCTATGTGAAAGGAAGTAGCCTGTCAGAAAAGAAAGGTGAGAAGGATGGTAAAGTGTTTGAGAAATCCAGGGAAGGTAAGTGAAAGCCAAAAAAAGGGAATTTAGGGGATCAGAGAACTATGGGACTTTGAGAAAAACAAGTGTACAGACGAGGAAAATGGATCTCCCTTCCTTTGTACTGCCTGCATACGGGACCACACCAGTGGTCTTCACGTGGTCCTCTGTGGCGGCCCTGGGGGCCACAGTGGGAGCAGAGGATCCAGAGGAGAGGATCTTAAGGCCTCAGCTCCAGCCCCCTAAGCCGTCCTTACACAGAGAGCTCCAATGCAAAGCACAACGAAACAAAAACTCAACAAACTGCTGAACCACACCTGGTGAGCTGTGAGAGAACTTGTTGATCTCTCATTATTTTGGGAAAGACAAGAAAGGGAGGGAGAAACCCCACAGAGAAGAGCACTGTATTAATATCTGAAAGATCCCTGACAAGTCTTTTCTTCCATAAAGGAAGTTGCCCCACTCATGCTGTGACTCTACACATCTAAAATTAAATGCTTGCTCTCCTCAAAAAGCTCCAGTTCACCACAAATTAGCCTGTTGCTGAATTCCTGCTTTGGTCAGTGACAGCATGGGACCCAGTTTCTGGTGCAAACCTGAGGGGCTCCTCAACACTTCCTCTGCTCACCACCCACTGCAACATGCGGTCAGTGGCCATGCCCTTTCTGTCTTATTCTCAGGAGGCTGCCCTGGTCTAAGTCCATCAGCACTTCACAGCTGCACCATTGCAGCCTCCTTACTTCTGAGCCTCTGCTACCTACAGTCACCCCTGCACAAGCCAAGCCCTCAAACGAATCATTCTCCCTTTCTCCCTAATCCTCCACACCAGATCATGTCCCCCTATGACCCATCACAACAGCAGCCTAGACGTGTGTGTGCGTCTCCCTGTTTATCTCCGGTACAAGCTTCTAAGGATCTGGGGCTGGGTCTTGCTCACAGCTGTGGATTCAATAACTAGAACAGTCAGACTAGAAGAGCACTCGACCTCCAGGAAGCCCTCAGAAAATACTTAGGCCTTATCATCTTATTGAATGAAGTTTTAAATTTAACTACTGGGCCTAGCACTCAGAACACTCTACAAACGAGCTTCCACTCCTCCCCCAGTACCGTTCGCACTCCTCCTTAGCGTGAGCCAGCCCCCAGATAAGCCTGCCATTCACAGGCTTCCACACCCCCTTGCCTCTGGATCTTGGTTCAGATTATACACCTTTCTGGAGCACCTTCCCTCCTCACAGCCCAGCCCAGTGGGTCTCAAGGCTGGGTGTACATTAGAATCACCTGGATGACTTTCAAAACTCCTGATATCCAAGCACACCCCAGAGCACTTCAATCTTACTCTCTGGGGATAGAATGAGGCACCAGTGTTTCCTATGTGCAGGCAAGACTGAGAACCACTGACCGAGCCCAAGCCTACTAATTTCCCAAGATCTAGCACAGGCCCTCTTCCTCCATGAAGACTTCCCTGACTTAACTAGTTTCCCTGGACCTGAAGAAATGACGTTCACTGCCACAGTCTATGTCTCCTCAGCTTGACTGTGAAGTCCTCGAGAAGGCTGTATCTCAGTGCCACAGCCTCCATCACAGTGCCTTACACACACACCTAATAACACATAAATGGTGATTGAAAGGGGGTATCCACAAGTTAACAACCCAATTGGTTTGAGTGGCATCTTTTCTTTCTATTACCTACCTTCCAGGGTAACTGAAGCCCCAGAGCACACACAGAGTATGCATTAGACTCCTTGCATTTATTTTCAAACTGTTAAAAATATATCTCTATAGAATACAGGAAAGGCCAAATTATTTTGGTAAATATGTATTTCCCATATTCATTTGAATTAACTCCCTTCTTCATGGCCAAAGAGCATAACAGCATAAGTACTTTGTTGTAAAATTACTAAGAGGCAAAATACAAAAGCCTCCATGTCTCCTTTATGATGTGAACAGAGAATAAATACTGGATTTGAGCAGGTACAGTGTGATGACTCAGCAGCAGGCCCACTGCTGCGGGTGCTCTCTACCCCCCGCGGAAGCATCTGCAGCAGTGAGATCAGACTCACTGCTAATGAACTTGTGCTGAAGAAACAGACATTTTCACTAGGGCAAAACATTGGTTGGGGCAGAGGAACCTGGACTAAGCCCTAAATGTGATCTGAAAACGCTTAACAACATTGGCCAGGAGAAGCAAGAACAGATACCAAAGGCAGGAAGGAAAAAGGCTGGTGTTTCTCCAGAGCTCCAGATGTCTTTATCTCTGCCGAACAACAACTACACGCAACCAATTAGACACCACTATCACAGTTTTTATTGTCAGTAAGCCTTTGGACCCCAGTGTTGATTGGCTCTCTAATTAGTGCCTGTGCGAAGTACAAATGCAGCTAACATATCAGCTGATGTAAGAACACTAAAGAAACACTGAAGAAGAACGAAGCTTTTTCCAAATGAGTAAACATGTCCCAGCCCATGGCACGGACCAGTAAAACTGCATGCTTTCCCAATTTTTTTTTTACACTTGGCAAAGTTGAGTTACCTCCAAATAAACAGGTCAGAGACCACAGCTGACTTTTTGTTGAAAGAATGGGAATAGAGCCTCAAGCTCAGCAAGCCAGAGCAACTGCCAATTGAAAATGATTTCCCACCAAAGAGCTTTCATTAACTAGTAAGTTTCCAATAAGCAGACTAGTTATGTGGACTAAGAGACCTGAAGAAACAGAAGGAAGAAATGTTGTACAGCTGTAAACAACCTTTAACCTTTCTTCTTATAAAAATATCCAAGTGGGGGTAGGGGAGGTGGTGATGGTTCCATTTCGTTTTCAGGTGCCAGTGATTATTTGCTAAAAACCATTTTTTTCCAGGCTCTTCATAACAACCTGGAGGGTTATTTTAAGAATGCTGGAAGGTAAAAATGACTTATCCAAGGTCACAAGAAGAAACATTTTAGTAGCATAGCTGGGAGCAAAGCAGGTCCCCAGGTTTTTTTAGAAGTGCTACTTAGCCAACAGGCCACTCTGCCTCCTCAGATGACATTGTCTTTCAGCAAATGCGGCTTTCAAGAACCATCCCCATTTAAGTGTAATATAAGGAATTTATTGTTTTCAATATTGTGACTCAGGCTTGCAGGACACAGCCCCTGGCTCTCACCCATCAATTCCACCACTATAGCTCAACTAGATGGCAAGAAGCCAACAAAAAAAGCTCAATATGCTTGCAAGCAGTGTAGGGCTGGGTAGATGCAATGGTGCAGCTCACTCCTGGTTCACAGGTGATATGGGAGGAGAAGAATGGTTGGTAAAACTTAACCCTTGATAGGGCCATAATCATGCAGCCACCCTTCTGGTCAGATACTCACAGCAGCCAAGAGGAGCCTCATT